CCTAGGGGGGGGGGGGGGGGGGGGCCCCCCCCCCCCCCCCTGAGATGACCTGCGGTTTTCTAATACAACTGGTATTCTGCAAAAAAAAAAACTGTGTGGTTTATTGGTGTTGAAGTAGAGCAAGAGACAAGTGCACCCCCTCCTAAAAAAAATCCTGGATCCGCCCCTGGATCCTGATCTGGATAGAACCCAAAGGAAATGTGTTGTATTATTAACCAACATGGTCACCTTGTCGATTATTTAATTCAATAAAAACTTTTAAAAAAAAAAAAGAATGGCTGTAACCAGAAACACCATTGGTAGATCATAGAGAGGAGAAGTGTGATATCACTTTAACATCATGGCAGCAAAATTTCTGGATCACAACAACAGGGAACTCATTAAGCAACAATAATAGCAACAGCAATGAGAACGTCAAAAAAGCAATAGGTTTGATAAGCAAAACAACAACTTTGCTCATGAGCAGGCTTTTTATACATTTCTTAGCTGTTGTTGCACGCTTGTGACATGAAACTTCCTAATTTCATGTGCCTGCTTTATGGAGTAGGTGAATACAGCGCAAAAATTTTCTCTTCTTAACTTAGATACAGTTCTGTAAGATTCAACCCCAGAAAATTTCTCCAACATTTGACAAAGTGAAAGAAGTATTATTGAATAAGATCAATGGAATTTGAAACAGGTCAAATTCACTTTTTAAGTGTTGTTTTCAGTTTCTTGTCATCCAGAAATTTTGCCATGGAAACATTCTCCTCTCTATTCAGGGCTCTCACTAAGATTTCAAGTTACCAGGTAAATACAACAAGTAGGCCTGCAAGGAATTAGGCAGCTATGGATTTCTTTTGGTTCTATTTTTCTTCTATTTTCCTATGGAAGTAGCCAGGGGCCATATTCATGGAAGCCCAAGGAAATCCCCAACCCCCAGCCCTTAATGACAGCCCTGCTATTAGAAGAACATGTTCCTAATACTAATGGGGTGAGATTGTAAGAGAAAACCACTAAATTAATATGAAGTATACAAAACAGAACAATTTTGTGACTTTTTCGCAACCATTAAATCCTTTGGTAGCTTTTAAAGGTCATTTTACAGACCAAAATGACTGATTTCCCTACCCATTGTTTACTTCATGTAGTGAATTCCCTACCCTTTCTAATATACCTGAAGTCTGAAAAAGGTACACCCTTTGGGCGGAGCCTCCCCGTATAGGACATTATAGGGAGTCCCCCCCCCTGCCTCCCCCCAGACAAACAATGGAGTTTATGAAAGGCTAAGGACAATATTTTAATAGGTATGGTCAGCTATAATTCGATCCAGGCTTTGAGTAGTGAATTAGTAATATCAGCTAGCCCATGACTAAAAAGGCAAAAACATGATTGAGCCCTGTTGTTGGGGTCAAAATTAATATTACTATTTTTTTTTCTCTCTGACAGGACAAGAACGATTTGGTAACATGACACGGGTAGGTCTTTTCGTCCTTCATTACATTCATGCAGCTCGAGGGACGTATATATTGTGGTTCAATGGGCTCTTTCTAGCTGGTCATTCACATGGTACAAAACCGCCGTGCTGGAGAGCAAAAGTCGCACTAGGAGAAGACAAACAAAAAAATTACCATTTAAAATTATGTATGTCTTTTCTTTGTGTGGTTCCAGTGCGGCTTTTGCTCTCCAGCGTGGCGGTTTTGACGGCAAGCTGCTAAGGGCCTATTCTATCCTGGTTTGAATTTTACTTTCTTTTGTTTTAAACTCATTATTATACATTACCATACCCAAAAAGAAAGGAAAATAAAATTTAAACTAAGGATAAAATATTGAACCACAATAAACATATACATGCACTGTTGTAAGATAAAATGTAATTTGCGAAATTTTAGACATTTTTACTAAGAGGAAAATATTTTTAAAGTGAATAGAAGATCATCCCAGTCAAAGTTGCAAGTTGTGCAGTTGTGAAATTATGAAAGCCTGCAAAAATTCAGGCTTGCCAGAATTCGAACCATGATGACCTCTGCAATACCAGTGCACCACTCTAACCAACTGAGCTATTTTCGTGAGCGTTGTCTAATATACCCACACTGTAACAGTCCATATAAGCCATGTTATGATCTGTTCAAATCGTACAGATCGCAAAACTTACATATGGTCCATAAAAAACTGTTTATGATCCACAAACTGCATCTTATTATAGGGACTTAGGATATTTTCATGGCAAGAGGGGGTGTACCTTGTTCTTGGATCTGTACAGATCGTACAGGTAGCACACTGTGCTCTGATGTAATTATGAGATACATGCTTCTTACATGCTCAGAAACAGACTATTAGAAATGCTGACATCTTGTACTGAACGTACAATAAGTCAAATGCTCTTAACATTCCATAACAGTGCAGCAGCAATGGACTGATGACTGTTTCTGTCTTGCTCTTTCTTTAATGTGACATGATAAATGATTTTGGAAAAATGTCCAATTAATTGTTGGGGGAAAGTAAACAATATTGTGTCGAAGAGTAACATTTAACATGTCTGTTGTCTTTTTAATGGATTTGTTGTGGTTTATCCTTGGTTTAAATTTTATTTTCCTTTGTTTAAAAATCATCATCATTCATTACCATATGCAAAAACAAAAGAAAAGAAGAAAAGCCAAGGATGAAATTGAACCACAACAGATTCATGATGCAGCTATAATGGGCCATAATATGACCCTTTCCTGACACATTTGGGTGTTTTGTTCCAATACACAGAATGTTAAGTGATCATGCTTTGATACATGTAATTCTTACTTTTGGTTTGTAAGCCTTTTGTTTCATTCACAAAATGATTGTCATTAATAAAATGCAGGTTCATAGTCCAAAAGCTCAAAAGTTTATCTGATGTTAACTTGCATGCTTACAGTGAAAAATAAAATGAATTCTTAAAAAGAGATTTTTCCTATAATTTATAGTTCAATGATGATCGATGGGCTGGCACAATGTAATAATTTGTGCTGATCGATTATGAGATCTCAGGTGATTCTCAACACTACTATTTACAAGTATGACTGTAGAGTTGAACTTTGGACGAGGCAGAACAAACCAGGCTGGGTCTGAATGGGACCTCTCTAGTACATGTCCAACAAACTGACTGCTTGCTCATCTTGTCTCCCCAACCCATGTGTCATGGCACAGTATCAGATCTTGGCTCATATTAATTTTTTCATGGTAAACGTTCTCAGGTTTATTACAAGGAAGCAGTTGGAGCTTTCATTGTGTTTGATGTCACCAGAGCCTCCACATTTGAAGCGGTACAAAAATGGAAAAATGATTTGGACAATAAAGTTATGCTACCCAATGGAGCTCCTATTCCGGTTGTACTCTTAGCAAATAAGGTTTGTCTTCAGATTGTATTTTTGGTTGATAATAGGGCATCTACAATCACATGACTTTTGTCAGGCATAATAATAATAGTTTATTTGTGGCTCAAGTACATGTAGCATCATTTGCACCCAAGCAGAGCAAGGGTGAAAATGATGCTACAAGGGACACTAAAAAACTATCTGCCTGACAAAAGTCATGTGATTAAATCATTATTATCAATACACAAGGCCAAATCGTAGAAATTGTAGAAAATTTATTTCATACCAAAAGATTGTTTAACTTGAAATCATGTGGCGGGCTGCAAATTCCATTTACAGGCCGCACTTTGCCGTTTGGCCCGCAAAAAGGAGCGTTTTAGAGAGGGCAGTTTGTCATTTGGCCACTTGTAGTGATAATAATGGTTATTAAAATAACAACGACTCTGCTCAGTAGAGGTGGGTGCCCGGGATGTCGGGGGGCTTCCAATTTGGGCAAAGCCAGCCCATGGGCAGAGTTATACCCCCATGGCTGGTAAACCTATGCTCTCCAGCCATTGGCCCCCACGCCAATGGAACCAGGCACCTGTCACACTGATTATCAGTGGAAAATAAAGGCTAAACGAAGAAAGTGGCTGCCAGGAAACACCATTCTAAGCACATTGAGTTGACGAAGCAAGGTTGACTGTGCTTGAGCCACTGCGTTGATTGCTGACACTGAAAACACATGATGGTGCTCCTTGTTGTTACCTTTGTTAAATTTCATCTAACTTCATAAGTTATTAATGGTAGAATAGTTTATCAGCGTGCAAAGAAAGTAGTGTCCGATAGCCCGGGGCTAGTGGATTTTGCTATCGGGCTAGTGAATTCTGTTATTAACTTGCCCGATGGGCAAGTGAATTTTTTTGAGGAATTCAAATTACAGAAGAACCTTAGAAATCAATCTGCTCGTCAAAACGTTTTTGGGGCTAGTTGAAATGATATTTGGGCTAGTAAATGTTAGCTTCAGCTTGCCCGAATGACAAGCTGTAAAAATGACTTTCTTTGCACCCTGTTGATGCTTAACTGTGACAGAGGAACCCATTAAAAACCAGTTTCGAGTATTGAAGAGGAAGGCCATGTTTCCATTGGTATTTTACTATTGCATCTGCGATTTACCTCTTGCTGTTGCAGTTTTAGCCCATCATATATCATACTGTTCGTTGCTACTGGTACATATTTTATTTTATTATATAAACACCAATGAAATACCAGGTGAGCTTTTGCACGCAAACTTGGTATCTTCACATGTGAAAATAACATGTTATCTTCACATGTGAAAATATCACCTTTGCTATGGCTACATAATAAATCGCGCCTTTCACACCAAAAAACTATTAAAGTGAAATGGTTTGGTATTTCATTGGTGTTCATATAATAAATAGAACATTACATGGCCGCTTGGAGATACAAAATTTCTCTTCTTGTGTTGAAAAAATATTTCACTCGTTTGCTGCGCTTACTCATGAAATATTTTTCAACACTCAACATTCACAACAGAAATTTCGTATCTCCGCGCGGCCATAAATTATAATATCCTCTGTTTATCTTATCTGGTACATTATAAGCTACATGTACATTACAGTATGATAATTAAAGAGCTAAATTGTATTATTTTTAAAAATCCCAAAGTTATAAGTAATTTCCAATAAATTAATAAATTACAAAGCTAAGTCATCTTTAAAATGAGGCGATTTAAATAGGAATTCTTGACCTGATCCAGGCCTCTTTAACCAGTGACATGGTCTTTTTTTGTGTCTGACAGTGTGACCAAGCAAAGGAAGGTTTAGTAAATAATGCAAGCCAGATGGATGAGTACTGTAATGACAGGGGATTTCTCAAATGGTTTGAGACATCAGCTAAAGAAGATATCAACATAAACGAAGCAGCAAAATATCTTGTGTCAAAGGTGGGTTCTATTAATCTAAGACAAACTGACTGTCAGTGATATAAAATTTTTATGTTTTTCTTCCAGTGAAATTGGGCTCCATTGTTTATTATTTCTCACGCTACCTCTTTCTCTGCTTTTTTTTTTTAGATGAATGCACTAGACATTAAAATTTAGTCAAAAGAAAGACTTAGCGATTTACCCCGAAATGTGCGGGGTGCTTGAAATGCAAATTTTCACCCCAGCTTTGGACGTATGTACATATGTAAATACAGACGATTTTGTCAGAACCAAAATTTCTTGGATGTATAGATATTAAACCATATTTTCTTACTCATGGTGCTCTGCTGAGGGCACTTGATCGTGCAGACAAGACTAGCTCCCTCTATAGTTTTGCAGTATTTCAACTGCATGTAGTAAGTGCAGTTGTAATAATCTACCTAAACAAGACTCTCTGAAAATCTCAGCAAGAAAGACTAGGCTTTTACCATAGCAAGGATAAATTCCCACATTAAAAGGTTGCTGATCTGCAAAATTGAAATCCTGCAAAAACTTTTGTGCCATGTCATAGACAAATTTTTGACATAGCTCAACATCATTTCTTTTTTTTTTTAACAGTGTACAGTGTGTACATGGTATTCCCCAACCCTTCAAGAGATTGAGTCAATCAACGCAAACTGATTTGTGCTGTTTTCTTTCTTCGTTTCTTTCACAGATTCTAGAGAATGAAAAGGCAAATAGTTTTGGTACCAGTGACAGGAAGGAGCCGTCAATAAAATTAACAGATAGTGCATCTTTAGCAACAAGTGAATATAAAAACATCCCATCTGGAGAAGCGCCTAAAAGTGGATGCTGTTGATAGCTATGAATTATTGAATAGACAGGATGTACTCAATCAATCAAGAAGTTTTGCTCAGAAGTTATAAACAAATTAATTAATCTGCCCTTTGGCTTCTTCTCTTTTTTCTTGATGCAAATTAATGTACAGATGGTTTTCTTTTACACATAAGTTTTTAGTTGTTGGCCTTTTAAAGTCCATAGGTAAGATTGTGTGCAGCGATTACCAGCACATTGCGTTCAATATGTGTACATTTTCAAGTCATAGCAACACATCTGGCTGTTACAGTCAGTGCCACATTGTCTCTCCTCACCTCTAGTGGTGTTCCACAGGAAAGACATGTGCCTTAGCGACAGAAATTCCATGCTGATGGCATTACTAAGCAATATTTACATAATAAATCCGGTAGTCATGGTATTCCACTATGTCAATTTGTTCAAAGCAAAACTCAAATGCTTCTTCTAAAGAAGAATATATTCCATGAAATTATTGACTGTTTCGCTGTAAATTCATCACGATTACATTTGACTTTTGTCATTTGTCTCTCATTATCTTGTAAACAATAGCTGAAACAATGTAACAATAATTTTTCTTCGACCAATCAGAGGTCCTGATCAGATTCCGGACAGATTTTATGTCATCTGTACAGAATTTTGGTGCTGAGGCACAGATGTCTTTCTTGCAAAACGTTCTTAGTGGCAAGGAGCGAGAAGAGACAACTGTATTCGTAGGCTACACAATGTAAAACTGTATTAAAAGAAATCATATAATTTAATTGAAAGAGTGCTTGGAATAAGACCTTGTAAATTAAGCTAAGTGACTGCTGATTTAGTACCAAATTTCCCCGCGATTTACAAGCATTACACGAGGCAAACTGTATCAAAAACATCTTTTAAATATATATAGTTTTAGAAAACCTGTTGATGTAGATTTTTCTGTATAAATGGGAGGAGTCTGAAAGTGGAAGGGTATTGCTTTTGGTGTAATTTTGATAAGTATAAAAAAGAAACTGGTGTAACTTGTTTAGTCTTGTGTACCTGTGATTTTTCCATCTTTACNGTACAGAATTTTGGTGCTGAGGCACAGATGTCTTTCTTGCAAAACGTTCTTAGTGGCAAGGAGCGAGAAGAGACAACTGTATTCGTAGGCTACACAATGTAAAACTGTATTAAAAGAAATCATATAATTTAATTGAAAGAGTGCTTGGAATAAGACCTTGTAAATTAAGCTAAGTGACTGCTGATTTAGTACCAAATTTCCCCGCGATTTACAAGCATTACACGAGGCAAACTGTATCAAAAACATCTTTTAAATATATATAGTTTTAGAAAACCTGTTGATGTAGATTTTTCTGTATAAATGGGAGGAGTCTGAAAGTGGAAGGGTATTGCTTTTGGTGTAATTTTGATAAGTATAAAAAAGAAACTGGTGTAACTTGTTTAGTCTTGTGTACCTGTGATTTTTCCATCTTTACATTAGGCATAAAAAAAAATCCCACCCCCATCTCAGACTGTGAATTCAAGAGGTTGATTTGTGGAAAGTCTACCAAATGAAGTGTCAATAAAAGAGAGGTGTCCTCGTTGGGTAAATGTAGAAAAGTCTCCCCTGATTAAGCAATGGGCATAATGACTGTATGACATTGACATTTGAGCTGACATAACATCTCATTTGTGCTGACATTTTGATCTACAGTGTATGCACTTGGAGTGTCAAATTCCCCATTACTGTCATTAATGCAGCCTGTCTTTTGTTAGTCTGTTTCTGAAGGAAAAGGTCATATAAGAGCTGGAGGTTCATCCTGGGAGAAAATGAACCCTTTAATACCCCCCCTCCCCTACCCACCCATCTAAAACAGAGCTTCTATTGAAGCAACCAGGGTTATTAAATGGGGGATGCGCTATTAAGATGGGGACCTCTTTGATTCAAAGTGCAAATTACCTCTTCATAACAATTAGGACAAGACAAGTGCATTTTATTTCTTTAATATACCAGCATCAAGCTTACGTACATGTACACAAAACTTCATGATTCTGCAGATGACAATGTAATTTTAGAAAAATTAATGTTGTTTGTCAATGATCAAAACTGCAGACTGCCCATGCACACATCATTATGGTGCCCAGACCACCAAAGTTATGTTCCAGGCATAGAAAATTTCACAACTTAATTTTGCGACCAAAAAAATGGTAAAAGAAAATGGCATAACTAATTTATCATTGGTGATCCCACTGTTCACGTTCTACTCTCTCTTTCCTGGTGAGTTCAATATAAGGACGTAGGTAAGATATGTCCTAGAAGAGAATAAATAGCATAGGTGACTATATGAGAGATTCACCCATTCCAGAAAGAAGCAGTAAAAACACAAGTACATAAACTTCAAATCTCTCTTTAAGTAACAGGCACCTTGGGAAAAACGTTAAGCGGCTGTTATGAGAAGGGAGGTGTAAACATACAACATTTTTTTATTTTAAAAGATGCTTATTTAACCCTTTAAGTCCCAATAGTGATCAACATCAATTTTCTCCTAACAATATCCATAGACTGTCAAGTGCAACATCTATGAGAATTAATCAAATGATCACAAAGAGAAAAATCTCTGATCTTTTATCAATTTCTCCCAACTAACTCTTATAGGAAATGTATAGAGATCAGTTTGGAGAATTTGTTTGTGGATATTGGTGCTTAAAGGGTTAAGATGTATAGCACATTAACACATAAAACAATCAAAATAAAAGTATAATAGATAAACAAGAAACAAATACGTTGTATTGTGGAGAGGTTATTTTTGGCAGCTGGGACAACCTGAAGTGACTCTTGTTGTTCTACAGAGATTGGCCATTGTGGAGTGAGGGTCGCCATATACATTTGTAGTTCAGGCCCCAGTTGTTCAAAAGGTGGATAACGCTATCCACTGCATAAATCACTATCCAGTGGATTATGCAATCAGTTTCCATAATACTTATTTGCTGGACAGTGATCGTCCGTTGGATAGCACTATCGGATGTTTGAACAACCAGGGCCAGGAGTAAATTGTTGCCACAAGTAACAGGATATTTTCACATTATGTTTAAATATTTCCACCAACACTATTGTCATAATTAATTTTCCAATTTCTTACCCAGTAGTTATTAATTAACAGTCGGCTCCTGTTAACTCAAACCCTCACTCACTCAAACCTCCAAAATAAATTTCCCCTTGATTTCCTTTATACATTTACTGTATTTTTCACTCAGTATCTCAAACCCTTGATAACTCGAACCTCCCACTAACTTGAAGTAGTTTTTGTTTCCCTTCAAATCAGTTCTATATAATTTTCCCCTGGATAACTAGAACCATGTTTTAAACGTGTGATAAGTTGGGAAAAAATTGTGTATTCTTTGTCTTACTGTAATTTTTTCCAGTCCAGCTCACTCGGTGGTTCGAGTTATCGGGAGTCGACTCTATTTCACTTTTTCCATTTTAAGCAAATATATTATTATTTGAATATAAAAAAAAATATCTTTTTTGAAGTCAATAAGCACAACACTTCTTCCATATTTGTTTTTGTTTTCCTAAAAAATCTGAAAAATTATCTCATTGATAGTCATTCTGTCGCTTAATGTATCGGTCAAATCGAAGCTTCAACATGCCCCCCCCGGGCATACCCCGGGCATTTGACACCTTTGCCGTCCCGGGAGGAGGGAATTTGATCATCAGAGTCTTCCAGGGGGTGGGGAATTTGATCCCCATGCTTTAGGGGTGGGGAATTTGAACTCCACCCTCGATTTCATGTAAAATATTTGGCGTGGCGAGCGATCACGGGGGACACGGTGTTAGAGGATTTTCGTGGAAAAGATTGTGCCTTTGTGGCCAATTGGTTACGTTGAAAGGGCTTAAACAAGCTTTGTGCCATATTTGAAGTATTTGAATTTTAAAATTTTTGATACTGGATTCAGGCTTTGAATGTATGAATGTATTTTATTGTTGTGTTGACAATGAAATACAATACCTATACCGGCGATTCAATACAACAACATAAAATAAAATAAAATAAAATAAAACGGTCAACTACTTTGACCTACTGCAAGTATGTTAATTAATAAGGTGAGCGATGATGCATGTCAGTGAAATGGTCGTGATGTAGTAATCTCAATAGGTGGGATCTTTTTTTATAGAACGCTTTGTATGTTGCATGACGAAGAAAAGCTGAGCATTCAGTGACCTTGTAGCAGTGATTTCCGCCGCTTTGCACGAGACTTGTTCGTAGTAAATACGCTAACAGTGTTGCTCAGTTTTTGTTATATTTATAAAGATTTTGTTCGACAACTGAAGGCGTTTCCGCCGTCCTTCTGTCATTTTTGTGCCTGTGAAATGTCCCCGGGGTGGGGGCATTTTAACAGAGGTTCTATTGAAAAAACCAAGGTTATTAAACGAGGGATACACTCTTAACATGGGGACCTCTTTGACTCAAAGTGCAAATTACTTTTCATAAAAATTAGGACAAGACAAGTGCATTTTATTTCTTTAATACACCAGCATCAATCTTAAGTACATGTACACAAAACTTCATGATTCTGCAGATGACAATGTAATTTTAGAAAAATTAATGTTATTTGTCAATGATCAAAACTGCAGACTGCCTATGCACACATCATTATGCTGCCCAGACCACCAAAGTTCTGTTCCAGGCATAGAAAATTTCACAACTTAATTTTGTGACAAAAAAAATGGTAAAAGAAAATGGCATAACTAATTTATCATTGGTGATCCCACTGTTCACGTTCTACTCTCTCTTTCCTGGTAAGTTCAATATAAGGACGTAGGTAAGATATGTCCTAGAAGAGAATAAATAGCATAGGTGACTAAATGAGAGATTCATCCATTCCAGAAAGAAGCAGTAAAAACATAAGTACATAAACTTCAAATCTCGCTTTAAGTAACAGATACCTTGGGAAAAAATGTTAAGTGGCTGTTATGGGAAGGGGGGCGTAACCATACAACATTTTTTTATTTAAAAGATGCTTCTTTCAGGTGTCCAACACATTAACACATAAAACAATCAAAATAAAAGTATAATAAATAAAAGAGAAACAAGTACATCAGTTTGCACATCGTTCACCTTTAAATGGCTATTGTGGAGAGATTATTTTTGGCAGCTGGGACAACCTTAAGCGACTCTTGTTGTTCTGCAGAGATTGGCCATTGTGGAGTGAGGGTGGCCATATACATTAATTTTGTAGTTCAGGGGCCTGTTTCTCGAAAGTCCCGGTAACTTTTCGGGCCCGAAATCAAAATAATATTCAAATCGAAATATAAAGAATATGAGCTCAGGTCCTGGCTAACAAACTACTCCATTTTGTTTCACTAACTGATAGTTTCACCATGTTAGATGCAAAACTAAAACCTTGATCTTAAATGTAAATGGGGACAGCTTACCGGGCCCCTTAATAATCGGGACTATCGAGAAACGGGCAACTGGCCCCAGTTATTCAAAAGGTGGATAACGCTATCCACTGAATAAATCACTATCCACTGGATTATGCAATCGGTTTCCCTAATACTTATTTGCTGGACAGTGATCATCCATTGGATAGCACTATTGGATGTTTGAACGAAGAGGGCCAGGAGTAAATTGTTGCTACAAGTAACAAGATATTCTCACATCATGTTTAAAAATGTGTTTCCACCAACGCTATTGTCATAATTTTCCAATTTATTACCCAGTAGTTGTTAATTAACAGTCGGCTCCCGATAACTCAAACTCTCACTAACTCAAACCCCCAAAATAAATTTCCCCTTGATTTCCTTCATACATTTACTGTATTTTTCACCCAGTAACTCAATAACCCTTGATAACTCGAACCCCCCACTAACTCGAAGTAATTTTTGTTTCCCTTCAAATCAGTTCTATATAATTTTCCCCTGGATAACTAGAACCATGTTTTAAACACGTGATAAGTTGGGAAAAAATTGTGTATTCTTTGTCTCACAGTAATTTTTTTCAGTCCAGCTCAAATATAACATTAATCATTCTGGTTTGAGTTATCACGAGTCAACCGTATTTCACTTTTTCCATTTTAAGAAAATATATTATTATTTGAATATAAAAATAATATCTTTTTTGAAGTCAATAAGCACAACACTTCTTCCATATTTGTTTTTGTTTTCCTAAAAAATTTGAAAAATTATCTCATTGATAGTCGTTCTGTCGCTTAAGTTTTATGTTTTCTGCACTCTCTACAATCAAGTAAGCTTTTGTAATATAGCTTAAAGAAGCCTACTAATATAAGCTCCCGGCTTCTTTTGGTTTCCTTGTCACAAAAACTTATATTTAAAACACCTCTTGAGACATTCTATTTTAAGTAATATGAGTGACTAAAAAAACAAAAAAATAAAACAAATAAAATAAATTATACATGCAAGACATTTATACCTCATTAGGCTTTGTCCACTGGTCCTCTGGCAGAATGATATGTTTCATTGTCAAATCCATAGCTCTCTTTAAGCGGAAGTTTCTGAAATCCCGCTCCTCAGGGGGAAGACGTTTAATGGCCTCAACCACATCTGGATGGTCATCCATTAACAAATCATCCTTACGAAGCCCTAGAACATAAACCCGAAGAAGTAAAAAACCAAAGTTCTGATTGTTTTGTTGTCTTTTTCTTCATACAAGGGCCCAGATACTAGATGAACTTAGTCAGACCCCCCCCCCCGGGGGGGGGGGCGGTGTACTTTAGGAATTTCTGGGTGGGGATGTGCCGCTGGGACCCTGGAACCCTTAACCTATACTAGAGCTAGTTCAGCTGAATTTTGCTACCCTATACTAGAGTAAACTCCCCAAATCCCCCCTATATTATGCAACGAGCCAGAGCCGGTAAAATGTCAAACATTTGATTCTAGCGATCACAGAATAATGTTCTTGAGAGTCAGATTGACTTACCAAGTTGTCTGTAACCACAAGCATAAATATACCAGTTGTGAAAAGCGGCTTTAACCTTCTGAGCAAACGACAACTTGCGTGCTATTTTAGGAGCGACAGAAGCCATGTTGGATTTTTCTCGGATGCACAGAACCCCATAATAATCTTTCAAGGTGGTTCTTCGGAAATATTCGTAAAATATCCGGAAAACCTTCGGAAGCACTCAAGCAGAACGGACAACCAATCAAAGAACGCCTTGCACTTGTCTGCTTTTTACGTAACAAATTTGCAGGAGCAAATCATGGTGTAAGATCTTTCCATTTTTTGGCGTCTTTTCTGCTTCTGCCTGCATGTATTTTTCGAAATTTGCTAAAGACTTGGTACCCTTATGAATCCTAACAAAAATGAGTGCACGGATCTCAAAGGTGAAAGTTCAAAATCATCCGCAAGCTTTTGGGAGTATCATGGACTTGCAAGAGACGGGATAAATTTGCTCCTAAACAATGGCTTTGAAGAGTCACAAAAGCTTTTTCGAAGTCACAGGTTTGTTGTACTATAAAGTACTCTATTTGTTCTACATAATGCTCTTTACTGCATAACTTGTGAACATGTTCTTGGGCACAAGTTTTTCGTTTCAACAGTAGCAGGTACTTTTGTTTATTCAGTGTCCATGCCTGTTTCACGATTTTACGTGAAAGAAACAAGTGACTTTTTTATGCACATTGTAAGATCTGTTTGTAGCTTGAAACCTGTCACCCCTAGTGTGTTATTCAAGTAACCTCGGGTTCAACATTTGCACAAATTAATTCGAGGTGAAATTGAATTTGAACATTCATGTCATCGCGAAAGATGATTTGGCCTAAATTAATATTCGCCATGGCGATTTAAGTTCCTTACCAAATATAAGCATATAAATGGTTTTACAACGCAGTTATGGTTACGTTGTCTGGGAGAGTGTAACCCTCGAGCGACACAACATTTTTTACTCTTATTCTTCTGATTGTTAATAGAATTTGTTTTACTTATCAACAATTTTGGTATTTAAAGACTAAACACTTTACCAGCGTGAAATTTCGTTATCTTTTTCGCGACCTAATCTTGTTAGCATCAGGGGCAGCGAACAAGGACGAATATTTTTCACCTTGAAACATAAAAAATTTATGAATTACGACCTTCTTCTATGCCTAATTTTGCCAAGCCGAAGAAAGGCATTGATGTCATTTAGCTGAATGACTTAATTAGGGCAGACAAATATTGCAAGGCAGCATTTTTGGACAGAGCAATTGACATAAGTCTCCTTAGTGTGATATTTATAAGTTGATTAAATTCATACTGAATAAGTACTTGCAAATTAATTGATGAATTGTTTGAATTTATAAGGTGTTTTTTTGCATAACATTTGAATTTGCTCTGCTAAGAGAGTTAACAAGGGCCTTTTTTCCAAACCTTGTTGTTGTTGTTGTTGTTGTTCATATCTTTTTTTTAGTTGCTAGGAGAACTAAAAAAATGCCAGGACTAATGCTGTATTTACACTTGCCTAGTATGACAGCAAACAAAAAGTGTTTTACTGCAAAGACTCATTTACATCAGGCAGTTTACATTTTGTGTGAATTATGGTCAGAAGATATTTTTTCTGAGCATTATGACTGAAACCGCCTTAATTCTGACTGAGGTAGTTTTGATTTTAATCAGGCTAAACATACAAAAGATAGTAGCAAAAAGCTTAAAAACTGTTGCACCGCAATGAAACGTCATAGGAATAAAATTGTGGGCAGAAAACATTGGAAGTCATAATTAAAAACAATGGTTTCATGAGCGCTGGCTAGTTTTCATGATTCTGTTGTCATAAAACCACATTATTATAGAACTAGATATAAAGCAGGTTTGATTAGACACGTAATATTAACAATGTTGTTTCAATTTGTTTTAAGTATAGAAATGTGCTTCATGTTGTTTACCATAAACATGTTCTAGTGCCAATAAGAAAGCAGCTTTATTTAACATAAACATCTCTGACTTAGTCAACCATTTCTTTTGTTGTTACAACTCGTGTCAAGGATAAAATCTATTTTTAGTTGGTGTAGGTGTAGCTTCTGTCATTTTAAGTGTCAAAACATTATTATTTTCAGATAAGTTTTTAAAAAGTCAAGTTCAGGTAAAAAGTTTAACTCATATTGACATTTCATAAAACGTGCCAACTTATTCAGGGCTGTCACTAAAATTTCTCTTTGCAAGTTATATGCAATAAGTAAGGAGGGATCAATTAACAGAATTTAACATTCATATGTGCTTTCTTCGTACTTTTTTTCTATCAAAAGCCAAGGGTCATGCTCATAGCAGCTGAGGGGAAATCCCCAACCCTTAGTGACTCTCCTGCTTAGTTTTCACTGGCTAATAGTGCTTTCCTTTGAGTTGATAAATGTTAATTTTGCACATTTTGGTTGGCAAGCAGCCACGTCATCTTGCAATATAGTCTAAAGTATGCAAATTAAGGTTTATTCCGTTTATCTCACTGGATTTGCCTCAAAAATTAGTATTTTAGTCCCGCAAGTGCCTATCTGTTGTTAAAGGGTATCAAATGCCTTGAGAACAGAGTTTCATAGGTTGAAAACCAGCATAAGAAGATAGGTTAACATGACTGTTTTTGTTACAAATTACTTATTTTTATTTTTGTTTCTCTCACACTCATGATGAAATTATTATTCCAAATAATCTAATTTTAGGATCTTATACCAACATCAGTCTGCAATTTATTTTATTACATTAAGTTATCTCTTTATGACTTGGAAAATTATTATAAAGTCCTGGTTAATATTGTTTAAGAAGTATTGCAAAAAATGAGAGACACTGTAATTGCAGAGCACAACATATAAGTTGTAATTATTACAACTTATATTTTGTGCTCTGCAAGAAATGTAATAATTATTGCATTAAAAAGTGGTAAGCAGTGTAAATATACTATAATCACTATGTTTATCAACAAAATTAATAATTTCATTACTTTTTAATAATTAGTAATAGTAATAATAATAATAATAATAATAAGTATCTGTAGACTTGGTTCATGCATGCATTATGGGTGTATTAGCGATGCAAAAGCATCATGATTGACACTAATAAAATTGTCATGTGTTCCCTGCTATCTCAGATTATTTGGTGCCAACATAATATTAAATACTTGGTGAATTCTAAAAATGGCTGACTTTGTTTTTTATTTTAATTAAAAACTACAGGCCACAGTCATTCACAAGAAGGATATTACAATGCACTGGATAATTATTACTGTCTACTAGATAATGTGATTTTGGTTCCCAATAGTTATCTCCTAAATTATAGCGATTTATCTGGTGGAAACTGGGCTGTTCAGTTTTGAACAACTGAGGCCTGGTATAAGTGGTCAAATTTATCTTAAAAAATAGGCTGGCAGTTTTTGTATATTTCCAATATTGGATGTTTTATTTTTCTGTTTTACTTAGTGATGGCAGCCCCCTTATGAGTGCTGGATCAGGCATGGTAGACTTTGTTGTAAGTGACAGAAGAGTTTTTTTTATTTCTTATTAAATTATCTTGAGTTTCCTACATGTACATAAAGTATCGTGGAGTATTGATTTCTTCCAGGGAAACAGCAAAAAGAAAGGACTTGGCAAATATCCAGGCTTCCTGACCTCCATAACCCATGTTTATTTCTCCCTTGATCTAGCAAGCCATCCTGACCTTTGAAGATGACCAGCTAGACAGAGCTCTTGAAAATCTCAAGAGAGCACAGCGGGTTTGCTATGTAGAAAACACAGCCAGAAAGAGTATAGGAGTTGGACGGGATGAGGAGCTGATGAGGCAGATTTTGTATGCCGACTGTGAACTCTACATGGCTCTTTTAACATTCCTTAAACAAGGTATANCAAAAATTAGTATTTTAGTCCCGCAAGTGCCTATCTGTTGTTAAAGGGTATCAAATGCCTTGAGAACAGAGTTTCATAGGTTGAAAACCAGCATAAGAAGATAGGTTAACATGACTGTTTTTGTTACAAATTACTTATTTTTATTTTTGTTTCTCTCACACTCATGATGAAATTATTATTCCAAATAATCTAATTTTAGGATCTTATACCAACATCAGTCTGCAATTTATTTTATTACATTAAGTTATCTCTTTATGACTTGGAAAATTATTATAAAGTCCTGGTTAATATTGTTTAAGAAGTATTGCAAAAAATGAGAGACACTGTAATTGCAGAGCACAACATATAAGTTGTAATTATTACAACTTATATTTTGTGCTCTGCAAGAAATGTAATAATTATTGCATTAAAAAGTGGTAAGCAGTGTAAATATACTATAATCACTATGTTTATCAACAAAATTAATAATTTCATTACTTTTTAATAATTAGTAATAGTAATAATAATAATAATAATAATAAGTATCTGTAGACTTGGTTCATGCATGCATTATGGGTGTATTAGCGATGCAAAAGCATCATGATTGACACTAATAAAATTGTCATGTGTTCCCTGCTATCTCAGATTATTTGGTGCCAACATAATATTAAATACTTGGTGAATTCTAAAAATGGCTGACTTTGTTTTTTATTTTAATTAAAAACTACAGGCCACAGTCATTCACAAGAAGGATATTACAATGCACTGGATAATTATTACTGTCTACTAGATAATGTGATTTTGGTTCCCAATAGTTATCTCCTAAATTATAGCGATTTATCTGGTGGAAACTGGGCTGTTCAGTTTTGAACAACTGAGGCCTGGTATAAGTGGTCAAATTTATCTTAAAAAATAGGCTGGCAGTTTTTGTATATTTCCAATATTGGATGTTTTATTTTTCTGTTTTACTTAGTGATGGCAGCCCCCTTATGAGTGCTGGATCAGGCATGGTAGACTTTGTTGTAAGTGACAGAAGAGTTTTTTTTATTTCTTATTAAATTATCTTGAGTTTCCTACATGTACATAAAGTATCGTGGAGTATTGATTTCTTCCAGGGAAACAGCAAAAAGAAAGGACTTGGCAAATATCCAGGCTTCCTGACCTCCATAACCCATGTTTATTTCTCCCTTGATCTAGCAAGCCATCCTGACCTTTGAAGATGACCAGCTAGACAGAGCTCTTGAAAATC